GCAGGGATTTGTATGAGAACAGAAAAACATAACTTACGTTAAGGGTGTAAATGTGTTACTCAATTCATCAGTGGTTTTCATTAGAACTACGCTAAATCAGAACTAATTTTGACATATTCATGAATCTCTGATTTCATAGCATGACCTACACTTAGTCTATTTATTTAGGGAAGGCAAAGTCCTGAGACAAGCGATAGCTCCTGGTCCAGCTGGGTTGAGAGTGTGTAGTCCCCCACAGAGCCTGAGGATTGGGCAGTCCTCTAGGATGAGCTGTGAGCTGCATAGTTTTCTCCACCCCACAGGGATAAAGAGGACTTGTACTAGTCCCCCATCTGTCGAGAACCCCATCTAAAAAAAGGTTGTTTATAAAATTGGTGCAAAACAGGATTTTGATCAATTCCCTCTGCCTTTGTTTTCTATCTGCTGAAGATTAGATGAAGCAGCATTGGTCATCTTTCTTTTTATCACACGTTTCTTACCTTTGCCATGCTGTCCCCAGTTTCTTCCCGCACTCCGGACGCCATCTCTCCACAGACCTCCAGATTTATCGTGGCCTCTTCCCTCCCTCAGTAGTTACTAAAGTTATCCAGCTAACTGATCAACCTCACTTTGTGAAACCCCCTGGTGCTCAACCAATCTGTACACCCTCAATAACGCAAATACAATACCACCTGGGCATTAATAACTTCAGGTTTCAAAGATTTCAAATTTGTTTTAGAATTTTAGATATCTAGCGGGTATTTGGCGCTAAATTGTATTTAGCGAGTATCTGTTCTAACTATGAATACCATGGCAAATATAATTGTGATTCTATTGTTAATTGCCTAATATCACAAGTCATACAGTAACAGTGATGTGGTTGAGTATGCAATACTTTTAAACAGGTTCAGTTGAACTATTATCACAATGAAAGTATGGTAATATGCAGTGACTTTATTGATTTCAGTTGTGTTTCATTATGTCCTTTTCCATGCAAACCCACACTGAAAAATATTTCCTTGTGATGTATTTTTTGGCTATGATTTTTTTTAGATCTGAAGATCCTACCTGATTGCAGATACTACCAATATCAGAACTGCTGACACCAGGGAATTGTTCTAAAGAGAAACACCGTTGGCCATTAAAATAATTGATGTCTGTGTCGACAAAGACATCTCTTAGCAATGTTTTGAGCGGGGGGCAGGGAAATTCTAAGATTAATTCATTGTCATGGTTTTATAATAAATCTTAAATGCATTTTTAGATATTCATGGAATAATTTGTCTTACATATATTTAAGTAACATTGTCAGACTACCTGTATATACTATCCAACCAAACATTTTTTAAAATACAAAATACATTTTTATGGATTGGGGGATTTTCATTTCAGTAACAGGGTTGACAATGATTTTAGGGACTGCTTTAAAAATCTGTATTAAATGCTGAAAATATTAGTTAAGGTAAAAATATATATTTTGTCCACATTATTTTATGTAGTTTTTCAAAATAATGGTATAATACACAAAATTTAACAAAATCTCATAAATGTTATGAATACCAGAATGTACAGAGATTACAATAGGGACATCCCAAAATGACGCATTTGACATATCTGACACTCATTATTTACTATAGTGATCATTTATATTACATGAACTCATAGTAAAATAGCATAATTTCACTGGATAATTTGTAATGGCATCCTGGTTTTCCAAAATTTCGTTCTAAAATTTACACCATTAATGCTCTGGGACATATCAGAATTATAGAATTACCCTGGCTTTAATAAAACATTTTGCGTGGGGGAAATGTAGTTTATGTGTCAATGTATTTGGCTCATGTGCCAAATTAAAACTACATTACTATGGTTATGTTACATTACTACAGTACATATGTTATATTTTCAAAGCATATTATTATATATATTTATATATAATATATTATATATATTTATAAAACTAAGAAGAACACAGAATAAAGCTGCCATTTCAGTAATATGTAACCCAACACTAGTGCCACCTACAGTTTTAATCTGTTTTGAACAGCGAAAGGCTATTTAAGGCACACCAGCCAAAACCACGGTATAATGCAGTGTGCTAACTGTTGTAGCGGCGAGGCTTATTAATAAGTATCAAAAATTATTTTGATAAGGACAGCTCCCAAAGGGGGATGCACTTAGCTAAGCCTGGCTATCATGATCAATGGTCATCCATTGGCGCCTATCTGTCTAGGGAGTGCCAGTTGGACATCTGGACTGCATTACTAAGTGTCAGGAGTAAGTGACTCATATCTCACCTTGATCAACCAATCAGGGACTGGTAGGGCCGAGTAACGCACGTGGGACTCTGATGCCCATGGAACTTTCAGCCAATCAACGAGCTGAAGTTCCTCCAGGTAAAAACAGGCAACACAGAGAGCCTGAGAGATTCAGTAAGATTCAGGGAGATTCAGTAATATTCTGGAGAGGATTCTGTGGACTGATCTAAAGGGAATTCAAAGGAGAATTCCAGGGCAGGACGGCCCAGGAGCAGAAGGCTCCCAAGGGCAGGACATTCTCGCAGCGCGCCTCCTGACCATCCTGAGACTCAGCCCGGACAACCACGGAACGGCCAGTGTGTCCGAGTGCCAGAACTTTCCTTTGTTCTAAGAGTCTAGAGCGGAGGTTGCCAGAGAATAACCAGAGGATCCACCCGAGGTTAGCACCAGCAGCAGGCCTCGTGAACAGGTCGGACCTGTGGACAGCTGAATCACTATTCAGAACTAGCTCTTCATGAGGAACGAACCGGTCCTCTTCCTGACTTGCTGGGACCCACAGTCATCTTTTCTCCTGTGCGCAAACTTTGCTAACTAGCCGGTCAGTGAGCATCAGCAGCGCACCGTCGCAAGCCGCACAGCACAGCCTGGCACGGAGCCAGAGAGCGCGGATTGGACAGCAACAGCCTGCAACTGTTTCTTTGTGCCCGCAGGAGATCTGAATCCCCAAAGATTGGATGAGTATTCAACTTCACTGCATTACAGCTCGAGAATTCAATTGTTATCCCAACCAGTTGATATCAATTTAATTCCTAAGAGTTATGTACTTGTTTGAGTATCTAATGTAGAAGTTATAACCAAGTTTATTTATGAAACGGTCTTATTGAATGATATACTGAACGTATGTCCTCTTGATATATGTAACTCTTTGTAACTGACCGAATATACCTTTTGTATTCTGATAACCCTCTCGATAAGATCTGATGCTCATTCTAGATCGCTGCATCTGTATGATACCTACAATATTATCGTGTTTGTAGGAACTGTGTAGTTTCAGAAAATCGTAAAAGAAAGTCCTGTGGTATATGGGAGTAAAAACAAAAAAATATCTGTGATATCTTGATAATATTTTTTTAGTTTCTGTTTGTTTTAAAATTGTTTCTAGTATGGATCCTTGACAAGAATTCAATTTACTTTTTAGACTACAGGTGTAAACTCGAGTTTTGGTTTGTGTGATATACTGTACAGCACGTTTAGCTTACATTTTGTTAGTACTGTATACAGTATGTCTTAAAGGGGAACTGCAATGCCATTTTTTATTTTGGGGTTAGAAAGAATCAGCATTGATGAGTGCATTAAAATTTAAATACTACTTACTTGTTAACTCTGCAAGACCTCCATCACAAAATAGACTACATTTCCAGGTATGCACAGTGCCATATTCTGGGTTTCAGAACAAGGCAACAAATCTTCCGGAGACATGAATCAGCCCTATTACATTGTAGACAAGCAGGCTTGTGAGTACATCTCTTAATCCAATAGAAATACTGCTCTTGACTTCAAGATGGTTTCGCTGACAAATACTACTTACTTGTTAACTCTGCATGCTGCTCACTTTGGAACATTTCTGCGATGAAATATCTGCCACATAACCTGTACTTATTCGCTCGTACATCACATTACATTCGTCACTACAGTGACTAGTGAGCAGGAAGGGCCGCTTCATGTCACAATTGGTGGGAACTCGCGCTCTTGCCCAGGGGTCTGAGACAACATGGCGACTTACAGTACTTTAACAAAGTTGATGATTTTGTGCTTAATTCGAAATTTGTTAA